CTTTATTGGTTGGCTATATATTTTAGATGAATTTCAATGTCTCAAACTTCTTTTGCATTATGAACTATTGATTAGAGTATTAAGCTATAAATGCCTCAAGTATCTACATGGATCATATGATGATGAATGCCACATAGTTACATATGAAATTATGATTGAGGGCAATAACCACTACCTATAAATAACAGATATTATAGAATAAGATTACTCTAATTTCTAATACTTGTTACTTATAGGTGGTGGTTTTTGCCATTAATAACAATTTCCATCTTTTGACTTTTATATCCATTCAAGGATATACCAAGAATTTCTTTTTATATCTTATTAACTACAAGGATATACCTTTAGCATATTTTTTATGCTCTTATAATCCTTTATCAATTTATTTAACTTAAATATATCCTATAGCATATATTTTATATTCTTATTTTATCATTAGATATTCATTAGTTGATCTTTTATCCTTTTGACCTTGACTCTTGGTTCTTAATCTCATCTCTTATTTATAAGATGCCATTTTATGTACCAAAATTCAATCTTTTGACAATTAACAACTTATCTATGATAATATCTTTTATAAGGTATTTTATTTTATTTTCACTTTTACTTAATTATTTTAATATATTTTTCTTTATTTATTAAAAATTAATTAATATTTAATATAAATGAGTATTATTTAAATTTATTTTTATCTTAATCTAATCAAATTCTAATTTCTTCTTAATTTAATTGCTTCCAAAATTTTTAGTTGTCTATCAAATAACTTATCCTAATACTTTTTGTGTTTCATCTCTTAACAATGTTTTAAGTTTATATCTTAAATATTTGTAATAAAAAAAATATTTAATAATACTCTATTAATGTTAGATACCACATATTATTAAAAATATTATGTTTAAAAGCCTTCAGAAAGTAATAAAATAAAAATGTTAAAATATTCTTAATTTTTATCACAAAAGATTTAAATTTAATAAGTTTTTAATGATTAAAATAAAGTAAAGAATTAGATCAAGTTAATAAAATAGCAGCTAGGATTTTTAAAAAAAAACTAATATTTAATAATAGTAAGTGTATGTAAAATTTATTTTTTGTAAATCTTTACATCCTTTTATGAATCAAAAGTATTAAAAATAAGTATCATCTTATTCTATAAATCTTTTATATTTAAACTTTTTTTTAAAAAAATAAATTTAATATTAATGAAAAATATTATTAAATATTATTAAAATTTAAAAATTAATAATATAATTTATTATAACTCAAATTATGTATGAAAATTAAAGATATCTTTTATATTTAATAAACCTAAATCAATATTTTTATATAAAATATATGAACAAATAATATATTTTATTAATTAGAATAGAAAAGATAGAGTGATATTATACTATATTCTGCAATTTTAGACAATGTCGTTAATCATTTTTTGAAAAAAATTGTTTAAAATAAGTAGATTATATTAATAAATCAATAATTTTGAATATCTTCTTTATTTAGAAACTATGTGATTTCTTCAATTTTAAAAAAATAAATAAATATTTATATTCATAATTTATATAATGATATAATTAATATTATTTTACTTAATTTATTATAATTCTTTTAAGTTCTTTAATTTTTATTATTACTTGGTAATATAATAGATTATATATATAAATATATGTTTTTATTTAATATATGTTTTCTAAAAATATATTTTTTAATCCTTAAAATAATTTTAATAACTTAATATAAATAGACATGCAAAAAAATATTAAATTAATTATTCTCAGTTAGATTATAAAAATAAAAAAAATAAAAAATACATAATAATTTTTTTATAGAATATCTTAAATAAATTTAATATAAAAATTATTATTTTATAATTTTTATTAATGAAAAAGCATGCCTATGTATGTAGACCTTAGGTAATTTTTATTATTATAGGTACTAATAATTTTTATCATGAACAAAGATAACATAATAGAATAAAAAATTTTAAATTTTAAATATATATTATATGAAATATAACAACAAAAAGAAATATATATATATATATATATATATATATATATATATATATATATATATAGATAATTTATTTATAACTATTTCATAATTCTTTAAGTTGTAAAAATTTGGCTAATGTTTAGCAACTCAAATGGTAAATTATTAAAATCAGATTGTCTAATTTTTTATACTTAAATATAAAACTTTGTAACAAAATACAAATATTTTTAATCATTGTTTATACATACTAATTTTTAATCTACTAAATTTTTAATTTATATTATATTATTTAATTTTAAAATAGCCATTTGAATACTATATAAAATTCTATTATATATATATTAATATAACATCTATATTTATCTTTTTAATTTTTTGCTTTGAATTATTTTTAATTTTAATATTTGTTTGTTATTTTGGTTTAATATCTAGGTTTTTTTAAAATATAGATGGCTACTTACAAGATAGAAATATTTTTAAATACTAAAATTAAAGCTAAAATCCTCCTTGGATAAATGGATTTCAACATGCTTCTTAACCCATGTATATACAAAATTCAAAATTTGTATGGACTTGAAGCAACAATAATTTTATACCCTTTAGTGGTGAAGTTTAGTTTTAATGAGGCAAAGTTTACAAGAAGGTAAAGAGAGATTTTATTTTAATAATACATTTCTATAAATATTTTTAAATAGATGAATAAAGAATATTCAGTTAATGAGACTAAAAAATAGGTTATTGGAGAAATCAACTGTATAATAAAAAAAAAGTAGAGGCCATACCCTCAAGTGGAAAAAAGAAAGAAAGAAAAGAAAAAAAGAAATGTCTACCTACAAAAGCTAAGATACAACTTAAACCATAAAAGGCTTAGCTTTTAGAAAGAAAAATAAATAAAAAATAAAAAATAATAATAATATTAATTAAATAATGAAGTTTCAAATTATAAAAAAGAAGATAGAAAAGAGAAAAATGTCAAAGCTAAAATAATAGAACATTATTGTAAAGGCCTTAAAACACCTTAATTTAAATCTAGAATTAATAATGATTGTTGAATTTTGTACTTTGAATGAGAAGGAGACATGAGATATATATATATTTTTTGTATCTCTCAATAGACAATACATCTAAGGTCTCACTAGATATGCTACATTTTCAATCGATTAATATCATAAAAACAATTCTACACAAATTCTTTCTACTTTGGTTTATTGAAATATTTTTCTATTATAAAGACTATTTGCCTATTTAAATTTATAATCTCAATAAATAAAATATTTCTCTATGTTACCTTATAAAATTTTGAATAAAATGATTTATGGTTATAATTATTTTTTCCACTAATTTATGGAGTAATTAGAGGAATACATGATCCATCAAAAGCTCCTACAATATAAAATATGTAATGTGAAGCTTTAAATTTTTCTCTTAAAACTTTAAATCTTTCTTCTATCATGAATTTTGAAATAAAATTAATCTTCTTTTATCATAGAATCCATTACTAGCTGCAAATCAACAGAATGACATTGCTACTCTTTTTTTAATATATATTAAACATCATATCTTCTTCTTCTTCTTTCTTGTTTTTCTTTTTTCAAACATGTATCCAATTTGTTATACAAATATTTTGAAAGTGACATGTAAAACATGAATTTAAACTTCTTCCCTGTGTATGGCTCTAATAAATATTGATCTACATAACTATTATTTTTTTTATACAAAACAATACTAAAATTTCTCATATCTAAATTATAATAACAATTAGTAATAGCTATTTTATTTTATCATGCTTTCTATACTACAAATGCTTACATATTGATAATTTATTGCACTATAATATACAAGCACCAATACATAACAATTACAAAAAGAAAGAAATGTCTCTTTTCTTCTCAGATGTTGGAACTTCTTAAAACAAAACAAAATTGTGGAATAAAAAAGAAAATATTCAATAACTAAAACAGAGTTCTTATGAGAGTGGAGAGGTTAAATAGAAGGATAACAATTATAACTCAAATTGATACAATCTAACATATTATATACTAATAAAAATTTATAACAAAAAATAGAAGTTTTTTATTCACTTGATCATCTTTTATATACTACTTCTTAAGGCCAACACTTTCAAAAGATGGCTTTTCTTCAATAAGTGAGGCCCTTTATAATGCATGTAGGCAACAACTTTTGAAAAAATGACTATTAGGTATAAAGTGCCCATTAAATTCAAATTATGAATACAAAATAAATAAATAAATGATATTAGTTTATTATAATTTAAAATTAATTAACATGACAAGTTTAATTTTTTTAATTTTTTTGGAAGTTTGACTGTTGTTAAATTGATCATGTTTGAGGCTTATGCGTAGTTAAAATTATAAATATTAGTTTTTATAAAAGTACAATTCCTAAAAATTGAACATTAAATGTTTTTGTTTCCTATCCATTCATACTTTAACAAAAGCCTTTCAAAAAACCTTCATATCTAGTTCTCATGTGTAATGTGATGTCCAATAATTTATTGAATGTGTCAACTACTTGTTTTTATTATTTAAAGAGTCAGAAGTGGCTTCTTTAATAAATTAGCCATGGCTGAAACAGGTTTGGTGGATAGGGAGTGTGAAGGATGGATGGATTATTTGAGGAGAAAGAGAGAGCATGGATGACATGGAACATTCTTCTTTCTTTCTGGATTTAAGCTGCTGCTGCTGCTATTCGTTATCAACACTGTCTGGTTAGTTGAATGGAATTGACCTGGATGGCACCATGTGGACATATTGTGCTCAATTCTGTTCTTCTCTTCATTATGGTTTCACACTGTAAGGTCAGGTCAGGTCGAGGGGGGGGGGGTGACTTGTGATGCAGCTAGAAGAGACGAGACGAGACGAGACGCTCTTCAAACAAGGGGGAAGGGGGGGGGATGACATTGAAGTTGGGGCCTTGAGGGGCCTTGCCTGTGCCACGTGGCATGGAAGTTACAGTTTTGGCTCTCACCCTGTCTGTCTGGGCCTGCCTTGCCTTTGCCTTGCCTGGGGTCGCTTTCCGGTGCTTCATTCTTGCGGATCTGGCATTAGGGTTTGGTGCTCACCCCTAAACTCGCACCTAGTCTGTTTCCTTGTTTTGACTATGCTCAATTCTATCCAATTCCTGGCTCCCCCCCCCCCGCCCTGTAACCGCTCTCCTTTTCCTTTCGCCGTCCTCCGCTCATTCCTCCACCCGCCTCTCTTCATGTCACACCTCTGCCCTCGTCTTCGCCTTTTTCATTGTTGCTGCTGATTTGTCTTGTCTTGTCCCTTCCCTTCTTCTTTTCCCCCTTTTTCGTTCTCTGTCTGTGTGCTTCATTTTCCCGCCTTCGTTTTGTTGCGCGCGCGTGCTGTTGCTATGGCGGACTCTGGAGGCGTTTATGGCATGGCGCTTGGATAGCGTTATTGCGCTAGAATGGAGATGATGAGGGGGAAGGTTGTGTAGGAAGGGGGGCAAGGAGGAGCAGCATGAAGATTGACGAGACGCCCCTGAATCTTTACTTGATCGAGCACCTAAAACCATTGTGAGTGCTTTTATCCTTCCTTCTCATGCCTCGGACTGCCCTGCCCCTGTAGTCTCTCCTGCCGGTACTTCTATTCGCGCAGTGGCCCTGCATTTCATGCGATGCGAAAATAATCCACTCTTCCAAGAGGGATGCTGACAGGGTGTATGGCGTTAAAGAGGTTTCATGTGCTGACTCCGGATTCTCTGTTCGCATTCGGGTAGCACATACTTGCAAGCTTTTGGTACTCAATTACTTCGAGGTGCCTGGTCATCAGTAGTTCCCGCCCCAGGTCTTCTATCTGGCAGTCTGACTGAGCTGACTAGTATGATCCGGACATTCGTCACGTACTCATGCAAACTGCTATAGGAAAGATGCGTCGTTGCAGTTGTAGATTTTCGCCCATGCGCGCGTGTGTGTTGTTTGGCTTTGATTGTTCTTATTTTGTTTGTTTGTTTTTTCATGATTAGGAAAAGTTAGAAAAGAAGGGTGAAAAAAACTCCAGCGTTGGGGCTTGGTCGAGGATTGAACATCCTTCGAATTGCGAGAATTTGGACGTTACTTCCACTCGGCGGTTAACTAGGATGCAATGCAATCAATGTTCAGCGGGTTATCGCTCATGCGGAAGTTCGAACGATCGTGAGTGCTGTGGATATGTAGGCAGGCAGAGCAACGATCAGCGAGAGCTGTCGCAGTGAGTGGTGTATAGCTATGAACGCATGGTTGATGGATACACTCAGACGGTTGGTGTCTCTGCGGCATCCGCACGAGGAGACCGCACAATGATTTGCTGTAGATTGAGGGTAAAGTGTGAGCTTGCGACGATGGTGAGCAGTGTTAGGCGAGTAGATAGCGGAGCGCTTTTAATCGAGAGGGTGTTAAACGTAAACGTATGTGGACGATCATCCTTGCCAGATGCCTTTCACAAACATCCAAAAACAAGCTGAATAGAGGAAATTATAAAGTGTTCCGCGCGGATGTGGTGATATGACTGAATCCACCTTTAATACAATGTACAGGACTGATGCAGACCCTACTTTGCTGTCTGACTATGTTGCGGCACTGTTAAAGAAGAGTAAACCCAAGAAGGAACTTCATACATTGTGCGTGAATCAGTTGTACGACATTCTTGGAGAAGGTCAGTTCATTGTCCACGGTTGAACCTGTCTCACTTGACAAGCTGCCTTCTCCTCTTAGTTGGGCCTTATGCTCAGAGTCAAAACTGTGTAGTGTGGAAAGGAGCGGCTGTGGACATTCGTGTACAGATGGTTGGAAAGAAGGATTTCTATTAACCATATTGTACCAGCCTTGGTGGAGGAACAAAATTGTTCGTCGTCAACCTCTTTCATGCTCTTGACGACGGAACGATTTCCTCCGGTATGGAAGACCTAGCAGGTGTGAAGCTTCTGGACAACACGGAGTCCCTTACTGGTGCTGCAGAGATCAGAATATCACCTTCTCATGTAGAGAGGCTACCGAGTGCCGGCGCTCAGGATTGGGAGGACGAGCTGGAGGAAGAAGAAAGCAGTGATGACGATCGGAATCACAAGCATCGGCGCCGAGTTTCTCGTTCCCGGTCTGCAGACAGAGTAGACGAACCTAATGTTTCTCGGTACAGTGGAGGTGGTTCAAACGATCTAAAACGCCAAGCCGGTGACCATAGGAGAGGAGGAGGTCAATCGGACCGGGAAAGGTCGTTAAAGTTTGATAGACGATCAGGTCGTGATGCAGGAGGTCGGTTCAGCAATGGAGACCAAGCGGAACGGGGTCTAATACGAGGGGGCGGTCCTCCGTTTCGGGGGGACGCACCGAACGTGCGGCTCGATGGAGTGCGTATGGGTCGCGGCAGAGGGGCTGGCAATTGGGCTGGTCCTATACCGCCTCCCTTTGCCGACGCACCGCCTCTCTTGCCCCCAAATGCAGGCTTTTTCCCAAACGGCAGGGGCTTGGGTGGGCTAGGGACTGGGTGGCCTGGAGGATTCGGGCACATGGGTGGCATGGGAGCTGGTTCGTTGGAGCTCTCTCATGGTGGGCGAGGACCACCCGGAGTTATGAACCTAGGGATGGGAATGGGCATAGGACCTGTGCGACCGAGGTGCCTGGATTTCGAAGAGCGAGGATTCTGTCTTCGAGGAGATCTGTGTCCTATGGATCATGGTTCCCACATCGTCGTGGAAGATGTGCAGGTAAGATGTTGCACTACTCGATGCGGTGTTATGGCCTCTTCCAGAACCGAGGGCACGGAAGTCGTGACAGCTTGGTGCATATTGTGTAGCGTATTAAGATGCTTAGGTTCCATCGCCTTTATGATTGGCTTTTTTTTTGGCACTGAACAAAGAAGCGTGTGAAAATGGGACGTGGCTTGAACTAGGAGGTCCTTTTCGTTGGATATGAGATGTTTTTCGGAGGAATCTAAGCCTTGCTAGTATATGGTGGTGGTAGCTATGGGTATGATTGGCCGCTCACCTGGAACTTTAGGCAGAGGATTCAATGGCCGCCCTGGGCGGTGAGAAGTAAGAATCCTCATTCCTCCAGCAAAGCGTTTTGATTGTTGCTCCTCCTGCAGAGCCTGTCCAAGTTCAACTTACCAGTCAACCTGTCAAATGGGCGAGGTATGGCCGTGGCGGCCGGGCAGTTGGCAGCCTCCAATACCATGCTACCCGCTCCTGCACCTGCAAGTTCACGGGGGAGCCGGGGTAACCGGGAGCCAAGTATTTCCCCATTGGAAGCCCCGATCATGGTGAATGGTCAAGTGCCTGGTGCCGAACCTGACCTATACGACCCTGATCAACCGCTTTGGAACAATGACAGACCCGAGGCGACGGGAAGGATTAGAAAGTTGTCAGCGTTTCAGGCTGAACACTCTGAAGTGGGAAAAGAGAAAGCAGAACTAAAGAAGAGCACGGAGGGACGAGGGATTGATGGTGGCAATAGAGGTGCCAACAGCAGCGGCTTGCATGGCGGAGACGCAGGGTCGACTGTGTGGGATCGTATTGGGCCTGTAGATGTAAGTGCTGCTAGTGGGGAGGCAAAGGTAGAGGAACAGCGGAGCCAGGGGAGAGGAGTTTCGTGGCAGCCAGGAAGATGGGGTGACCGTGAATCTGATAGCGGAGCCACCAACCTGAATACAAATCCTGGGCGAGTACGAGGCGCTGCGGGGTGGGCAGAGGTAGGTCTTCCATTGAACCGCTCAAAAGAGGGTACCAACTTGGGGCCACGCGCTCCTGGGCGCAGCACAGAACGTGCTCAACGCACACTCTATGTGAACTGCATACCTCCCAATTCAAATCAGCAAGAAGTCTTGCTGACGCACTTTGAAAAGTTTGGACGTGTTGTGGATGTTCGAATTCCGTCACACAGTCACAGAGCCTTTGTCCAGTTTGCCACTCGAGAAGAGGCAGAGTCGGCACTGGCTTCCCCCGATGCTGTATTGGGGAACCGTTTCATACGATTGTCGTGGGCCAACCGCGATAGTATCACTAGTGACAATGGCGCTTCCACTTCTTCTACTGGTCAGCCACCAACCACTGGCTCTGAGCCTGCAGGTAGCCATGCTGCACAGTTGGTAAAAGGTAGGGGAAAGCTGAGTTTGACTGGTCTGAATAAAGTCGTTGCCGGCCTGTCAGGAGCGTCAACCGTAGAAGGCAGCAACAAAGCTACGACGTTGAATGGTTCCGCATCTTCCGTGCCCAGCCCAGTAGCTGTGGCATCAAAGAAGCAGGAGGAACTTGAGCTAATGCGTGAGAAGATTCGTCAGAAACAAGAGGCCCTCGCTCAGAAACGCGACGACTTTCGGCGGAAGCTAAACAAGCTCGCCAGCCAGGTAAATTGTGTGCCTGCAGATAATGTCGAGTTTACTGTTAAGTTTTTGAATGTGACGATTTCCCCAGTGTGAGTGGGATGCAACATGAAGCTGCGTTGTTGGAGTGGTTGTAGAGTCGTCTTTACGTGGTCTGCCATGGGGGCTTGCTAGGTAGTTGCCAAGAGAGGTTTAGTCTATAGCAGTGGTATGGTGGGTCTTCGTAAATACGAACAGTAGCCCGTACTCCTAAGATTTCGAAATTTCCTGCTCCGCAATGCTTATCGGTGCGTTTTTTTTGGGTGTTTTGCTGACACTCCTGGCTCGGTTTCAGGGAGTCACAGGAGCGGAAGACTATCAAGGAGATCATGCCAGGAAGCGGCAGAAAGCAGACAATTTTGGCGACTTGCGGCCGTGCAAAGTTGATGCTGCTGTTAGGAGTTTGCCTTCTAATTTTGGTCTCAAGAAGATCAATGCAGTGGATGTCACGCAGGTAGGAGCGTCTCAGGTGTCATCGAAGCCTACAAGGTCTCCCCACCCTCGAACAGCTTCAGGGACGTCTACAGGACATTCCGCAGTTGCTTGGGGCCCTGCACGATTCAAACTCGATAATCGCACCACGGCTTTCAGAGTTCTACCTCCATTCCCGTTCACAGTTTCTGATGTAAGTATCAGTGGTTCTTCTCTCCTTTTAATTGCTGAGGCAGGCGAGGAAGCGAGTCTGGCCTGGGCTTAGCATAAGCAGTCTTTTTTCCAGAGTTTATTTTGCATTTGTTGAGGTGGGTTAACAGTGCATCTATTCTGAAATTAGAAGTCGTGCTCCGGATGCGAACAGGTTGCAGCTGTAAGAGACCATTTCGCCGCATTTGGTGAGCTGTCAAGCGTGGAAGTTGAGGCTGCCGAGGGTCACAAAGCAGACTCTGAACATACGTGGAGCCCGAACAGCTCCATACGGATAAGCTACACAACCCGATGGAGTGCGGAAAGAGCCATGATGCAGGGCAGATGTTTTCACGGGCAGTCGTTAAATCTGGTTTGGGTCTCTGCTGCTTCAACTAGTCGACCATCAGAGAGTCCTGCCCCCGCCGGCAAGGTCGCTCCGGCCGAGCACGAGACCACCGGTAGAGGCGGCGCCAGCGAAGTTAGTGAGGAAGCATCTGCTGAAGAGGTGCACCACGTGGAAAGCAAGCTAAACTTAAAAGATAAAGCTCATTTAATTCCCGCTCGGGTGGTGGATTCACCAATAACACCAGATGCCTGAGATGTAACAGACATAATTGCACTTGTCAAAATAGTTCTGGATGTATCAGGAATCCCATTCTGCGTTGGGAAACATTCGATTGCCTCATAAGTAACGAGGTCCGCTCGACACATTCAGTGCAGCGTAGACTGTAATATGTAAGCCTTTCAGTTTTCATCTTATGTCTTTTTCTTTTTCTTAGGACTCTCAGTTGGCATTAAGTCAAGCCAGACGTAGAGCTCATGATCAATTTGTGCAGTCAAAGAGCAATTTTTGAAATTAATATAAAAAAGTCACGAGGCTGGTTGTAAACAGCCAAGCAAGGTGGTTGTGGCTGCTTACTGCCACTTCCAGGTCACTTGTCATTCCAAATCACTTCCTGGTTCCAGCTTGCATTTTTGCTGTTTCCTATGTTCTGCTTGCATGATGGTTAAGGCTATGCGGACCTGTCGTGCTTAGACATGTTTACCCCGTGTTCAACATTTCGATTTACACGATGGTCAGAATGGTTGATTCGATGATTGTCTCAGAACAAATCCGGAGTTTCATTAGAGTGTTGATTCTAATTCTGAATTCAGATACAGTTGAGGAAAATGGAGGACAAGGCATCTATTCTCTAATCCACTTGTAATACTAAGAGTGATGAGATTTGTGTCTTAAACTTGATGTTCTGAACCTCAAAGTTACCGTGTAAATGGAAATCAATTTTTGTTTTATTTTAAAATGATTTTTGGGTGTAAACTTTAAATGGAGCTTAGGGAAGTAAAATATCATAATGAATCTTCAGATGATGTGCACTAGATAACACAATCAACTTTTTTTCAAATATTTCAAAATGAATTCTTGATCTCGTTTTGAACATTTCATAACAAATGATTCTATATTTGAAAAATCCAAATGTTTAATTTAAATTGACATCACATAACATCTTTCACCAATATTCAAAAAGTTAATTCATCAAACATTTGGTGCAACCTTACTTGATTACTTAAAAATGAAACATGTGTTTTAAGAATGTTTAGAAGCATGGTTATTTAATAAAAAAAGAAAAAAAGAAAGAAAGAAACATAAACATCAAATTATCAAGAAAACGAAACACAAACAATTGTATTTGTAACATACTTTGATCTTTGTTCCCTTTAAAGGTAGTTGATAGATTTTCTCACCTATTGATAATGTCTTATACTAAAGTATGAAGACCACCCTAATCATTCTTTAGGCCTTTGTAACTTCTTTCAAATAAAACATTTAAAACACCATCATAGGTAGTTCCTACCTCTAATAATATTATCAAATATTGAGAGTCTCTTCTAAGGTCGTGATACCAAACACGTTGTATTTCACCATCTATTCAAATAAAAACATGTTTTTGAAGGTCTTCATCTTTGTTTTATGATCTTGAAAGCTGTGACAATTTTAATGTATTATTTGGTAATTCAAAAATAATTATTTTTAAATTGAATTTATTGGTTATTGATTCTCTATTGTTTTAGTGGCACAAATTCACAAAAATCACAAATAAAGATAGAAGATAAAACAAAATCTTCACTAAATATTATTTCTTTTATAATAAAGAATTGCTTGATTTTTTTATCTTGATTTTCATAGTTGTTATTAATAAAAAGCATCAACCTTCTTTATTACATTTGCAAGATTTTTAGCTAGCTTTCATGTGCGTTCACTCATATCATATCTATACTAATATATAAGATATTTAAACTCATTTTGGTACTATCTTAAATTTAAGACTTCTTTGATTCCAAATTCTTGATTATTATCTATTTCTTGAGAAGGAAGTGGCATTTATCTTCTTCCTAATATATCCATTGTCTTATATGGCTCAAAAAGAGATATGAAGAATACATGATAGATCTTTATAGATTTTGATAGATGTAATTGATAAGCAACTAAATTGATTTGTTTATAAATAGGAAATGGTTCAAGTCTATAATAATCCAACTTGATACAATGGTGATTAGTCTTGATATTATGATAGAATAACCATAGTTTGTTGCCAATGTAAAATTGATGTTGTTTCTTGCAATATGCATCTGCGTTGATCATTTATTGTTCTTGAGTTTTTTTTAATTACACATTTATTATTGCATATAATTTTGATAAATAATTTCCAAATCTTTTTCTACAAGATTATCAATTTTTATAAAGTCAAAAGTATCAAATTATAGATGATAACCATAATTAGTAAAAAAAAAGTATTTATTAAATAAAAGAATATATTGTGACATTATATACAAACTCTACTAATAGCAAAAGAGTTGTTCAATTATCTTGATGATAGTTGATAGCACATCTCAAATATTACTCCAAATCTTAATTTATATGTTTTATTTGTCAATCAATTTAAAAATAAAAAACCAAAGATAATTCTATATCTATCTTTAATATTTTGAAAAAGAATATTTAAAAATTTCATATAAATTAAGTTCTATTATCTAATATAATATCTTTTGGCAATCTATAATAGTAATAAATATTGTCAAGAAAAAATTTAGTTGTTTCTTCACCTATGATAGTTTTTGAATAAAATATAAAATATGCTATCTTGGTGAAATGATATACTATCATAAATATAAAATCATATGAATTTGTGATTTGAAGATCTGTGATAAAATTCATATGTATTAAAGACCATGGTTGTTTTGGTATTTGTAATGATTAAAGAAGTCTATATTGTATTAAAAATATCATGTAGTTACAAAATCAATAGAAGCTTGAAGAGCACGTAGTTATGCTTCACCTTCTAAAGCATACAAGCATCTTTCAAAATAGAGAAGATTGTTCTTAAATTCAAATTTAGAAGTACTATGAATTTTATAAGGATTATTTGTAATATAATAAATAAAAAATTAAAGAATATACTTGATTGAACTTGCTTAAAAAAAATTAAATTAACAATCAATATTGATTTCTTTATTTTAAAATAAAATTTCTTTGGTTTTAAAAGAATTATATATATATATATATATATAAAAGTTTTATGTAAGGTAAGAACGTCTAAAAAGGGCATTCAACAAACCTTATTGTTTTCTTTACAATGTAATAGACATGTATATGTTTTTAAATAAGAAATATTAATTAAAAATAAATATAGATAGATTTAATATTATCTTATAGCAAAGCTTTTTAGAAGCTTCATAAATGCGCATTTGAATTTATACATATTTATGGTTGATTGATAGGTTAGAAATTTGGCCAATAAATTAGCCATGTATTGCATGTATTATTAGCTTTTGGCATAAGCTAACTATATGGTATACATACAAGAAACTTATATTGTAAGTTACATAAATATTTTATAAGTTGGATACATGTTGGAGGTTCAATAGAATATTGCCACATAGCTCTTAGTTATATATTATATATAGAAGTAAGAATAAAGCCTTCTGCATTGTTGTCAACATCTTTTTTGTTCTTAATCTTATTTCAAGAAACTCTAGTTTTTTTTTATCTTTGGTAATAGCCATTCTAATTTCATATTATATTATCTTTGAATGATTATCTAATTTTTTTTTTAATGAGATAAGAGTGTACTGATCTTTTGATTTTTTGAGATTCATGTCTTTGATAGTTTGACAAAAATACTAATAAATTGTTCTTATTTTTCTATAGAAGTGAGTGAATTATCTTACTTCTATTATTGTATTTGAAGGTTGTGGACTACCTACTTTTAAACTAATATTTTTAGTTTTTTAACAATAATTTTTTCTTTAAAAAAATAAAATATTTATTTTTGTAGAAATTTTTATTTGATATTAGAGGTTGCAAATTTCGTTCTTTTAATTTAACTAATAGATTTGTTTGAATTTTCTATAGAAAAAAAAATAATGAATGCTACTTTTGGCAAAAATAAAAACAGATTTGCAACCATTTCAAATCTTCACAAGCTTATTAATATTCTTAGAATAGAAATTTTATATATTTTTAATATTAATAATAGAGGTTCTATTTTGATGTCAATGAAAGAAATAAATAATAAAATTTAAAGTCTATATGAAGAATTTACAAAATAAGGAGAAATAAGTAGATCAAATTCATAATGAAATTCAAGAAGTCTTACTTTTATAAGTATAAGATAGACAATAATAAGTATGCCATAGATGTTTAATAGAATAAGATCTAAGTTTCAAAGATTTTCATAATAAATTGACATGATATATTTCAAACTTCTTATTGAAAAAAAAAAATTTGATGTCACCAAAAAGAATTGTACTTATATTATAGAGAATCTAAGCTCACAGCTCAACATTATCCAAAGAAGCAATATAATCATAGAATGAAGAGCATAATTGCTAAAGAAGATAATGTATTCAAAAATAGGTTTTTTCAAATATAATAGGAACCATGCAATTAACATCTTGTATAACACTTAATAAAGGTCTTATTCTTTCTTTATATTTCTCACCTTATTTTATAATAGAAGTTTATTTAGGACCAAAAAATCAAAAAGTCTTTATCTAATTAGATTTAGAAGCCTCATCTTATTTTATAGTCAAAGCCTTTATTAAAAAGTAAGAAATATATTTAGCTAAGAAAAGTAAATCCATACATATAGAAGTCATAGATGATTGTTTGTTATCTTTTGGAGATGTTATGTATGAAACTGCTCTTTTAAATATAATAATTAATGATCATAATATTTTAATAATATTTAATATGATTACATCTTTTAATCTAATTATTTGAAGATTATCATGGATAAAAAATATAACCTTCAAATAGAATAGATTTTTTCATAGCTATGACTTTTTTCATAGTTTAATTCAAAATTTTGTTAGTCAAATAAAAATCCATAAATCAAATACAATTAAATACTTATTGATAAGTGCGAGTGCTTTCATACATATTGCAAAAAATAGTCATCTTTTTTTATATAGACTATATCTATTTTTGATGGTAGAAAGATTTTAAGTAGTATTTTGAATCAATATTAATATTATCAAGACATTATTGAGAAAAAGAATGTAAATATTCTTCTCAAGCATTATTCCTATGATTATTCTATTAATCTTAAAAGAAAGATCTCAACTGCCATTTGGATCAATCTATAGCTTATCATAGAACAAGTTGGTTGCATTCAAAGAATATATTAATAAAAACTTATTTAAGAACTTCATATGCCATTTTAAATCTCTAGTAGGAGCTCTTATCTTATTTGTGAAGAAAAAAGTCAAAGCTTTGCAAATTTCTGTAGACTATTGTAGAATAGATAGAAATTAGTTTTTATAGGATATTAGTTAGATATTGATAAAATTAATTAATCATCCTTGGGACAGTTAATTCAAGAGGTAGGATGGATGATTTAGTCAAAAAAAGTAATTAAGCATTAAATGTTAGTTGAAATCTCTCTTTTGAGA